TAAGAGAGGTTTTCTCTTAGCAAGAAGTTACTTCTAATCAAGGTTTGCTCTCCACCCATAAGGAGAAGCTCTATTGGATTGGGAAGTCTCAAGAGGGATCTTGAACCGAGGAGTAGGAGTTTCCGAACCTCGCAAAAATTGTCATGTTATAGTTTGCAATTTCTCTTCCCTTATCTCTTTTACAATTGTGCTATAAATTGTTTACTTTCATATCTTGATTTCATATGTTGATTATTGCACAATAGGTTATATTATTGATTAGAAATTGTATATCTATAATTTACAAAAATTGGCCATTGACTCTATTCACCCCCCCTCTAGAGTCAATTCTTGGGCAACAAGTAGCTCTAGCGAGGTAGCTAGGCGAATGCTTAGTAATACAAATCAAATCGGACCCAAAAAGCGCGGAGGAAGAGTGAGTGACCATTTGATTTGTTGAATTGAATAAAAGGCCTAAAGTAAAGGTACAAATTGAGTGAGAAAAAGGGATTATTGAAAGGACATCGTCTTTGTGCAGGAAGCTAGCAACGGGGAAATGATAAAATTGATCTTGTTATTTAATGTTAAATTAAAATATTAAAAAATTATTATTTTAAATTATAAAAATAATAAAGGCCCATTAAATAAAATAAAATTACAAAATTGACCTTGCTATTTTTAAATTACAAAAATAATTTAAAAAATTATTATTAGTATTTTAATTTAACATTAAATATTAAGGTCAATTTTATCATTTCATAACTAAGTTAACAGGTTAATCACTGATATGGGGACAACTTGTTAGTTCATGATTTTTATTTATTTTTAATTCTACTCGGATTTTTATGCACAATTTTGAAAGTACGTGGGGATTTTGTGATTTTAATCCTTACAACAATAAATCGAGCCGAGCTTGAGCACATCCAAGCTCTGCTTGCCTCAGCTTGGCATATTTGTTGTCCTAGAAATGCGTAAACGATTTGGGTCTTTTGTAAACGGGTCGTGTCTTTATAAACGGGGCAATCCAACTTGATCCTTTACCCCGAAATTTTAAAAAATTGATTTCCAAAAATGTTGGCCAAAAGAATAGATTTTACAATTTTTTATATAAAAAAAATTTTCAATTGGGTCATGATTGGTTGGACCCAACTTGTTCTAGCCCGACCCACAAAATTTTTATATGATTTGAGTAACTAAAAATATGTTACATATATAATCTATGTATATCCTTATTATACAAATATAAAAATATATACATTAGATTATTAATACTAAGTTACAATAATATTAATTAATAAACTATTTTCCTTATATATATATATATATATATTTATTTATTTATATAAAACTATCCATGGGTAATTATCCGTACCTATTAAACCTCCTATTCAAGTAGTCCATATGACCCAATTGATTGGTCCATTACTCCTAATCATATCTATAAAATAAAATAAAACAAAATAAATATTTAATTATTTAATCTGTAATTAATTACAAATAAACAAAATACATCAATTAAATCAACTAATTCAAATAATATTCATGCACATACTTTCAATTAATCAGTTAAGTCAAATAAAACATTTAAGCAAATAAAATATTTAATTAACCAATTCATTTAAACACGTAATCAAATAGCAAAATAATCAAGTGAATAAATAAAAATGCAATTAAAATATTTAAAATAATACCGAGACTATCATTTTAAAATTAGGGGTATTACAGAAAATGATTCCATAGCGATCTCATTTATAAGTATAAAACTAAACTGTTACTCAACAACTTGTGAGGTAGACCTTACACACTGCTCATACCACTAATTCCATAGTATTACTTTTCATGGAAAAAAAAAAAAAAAGATTCAAGAAAAAAACTTGAAAGAGAATAAATGAGCACTCAAAACTATAAACACCTTAGGGCATATAGCTTCCAAGTAAAATACATGAATATAAACTGTTTAGTCAATGGAATTTATTTTGGTTAATTTCAGTATAAAAACTCGAGTCTGTAATTTTATTTAACCTTTAGCTAAAAATTTAAAAGTTATTTAGAATTGGTTACATCTAAATTTTTTTTTCCTAAATGAAGAAAATAAATTATAAATGAGACAATATAGTACAAGGCAAAAAATGAGGGCATAACCTCGTAGCAGACATAAGAACCCTAACAACAGCAATGACCTAGTCAGAAAAAAAATTTGGTTCAACCCAAACATATATTTACCTTCTTTGAAAATTAATTTCAAATATCAACTATTTGCATCTATATAATGTCACAGAACTAGAATACAAGTTGTGAATTGAAAATTATATATGTAAATACACTCATGAATTGGATTGAATATGCAATCTTGGATTGAATGTGCAAAATAGATGAAAAACCCAAAAGGAAACATATAAACCCATATCAAAATCACATATTATGCATATAAATTAGATGGAAAATTACCTCAAACCCTAGATTCATTCTTGAGAGAGAGATAAACCCTAGGTTTGGCTTGATTCAAAACTGAATAGATTCGGTCATCGAAAAACGAGGGTTGTTTCACTGGTTAGAGAGATAGAAAACGGGTTGCGCTTCGCTGTTATATAGAGATAGAGAGAGAGAGGGCACACGAATGAGGGTTTATTAGCCATATAATGCTTAAATTGGATGAGTAAATAAAAAGGGCAATAAGGTAAATGTGTTAGAATAGGGAGAAGGGTATTTTAGGCAACACAATATTTTAAACAGTAAAAGTTTATGTGCCATGTCATCTTTTTAGTCAATCTCATTTTCTTGAAAGTATAGGACTTTGACTCAACCACTTAGTATATATGGAGCCCTAACCTCATTTATATGTGAAAATCTTAAATATATATGCCTAATTGATATAAATAGATATGCCTTAATTGTGTGCGTGTGTATATATATATATATATGGAGACTATGTCGATCGCAGTTGATGGCTCGTAAACAAGTTTATTGAGTCGAGCTCAAACTTGGCTAAATACAGTCGAGTTGAGCTCGATCATGGTTTAGTTGGGCTAGATCGAGCTTGAATGATTACAAAAAAGGGTTAAAATTACAAAACCTCTTGTACTTTCAAAATGGACATAAAATCTTCCCCCATGAATTAAAAAAAGTTATCAAGTTGCCACATGTCAAACCCATTAACTTGGTATTGACTGACTTCTAGTAGCTCTAGCGAAGTAGCTAGGCAAAGGCCTAATAATACGAATAAAACTGGACCCAAAAAGCACGAAGGAAGAGTGAGTGACCATTTGATTTGTTGAATTGAATAAAATGCCTAAAATAAAGGTACAGATTGAGTGAGAGAAGAGGATTATTGAAAGGACGTCGCCTTTGTGCGGGAAGCTAGCAACGGGGAAATGATAAAATTGATCTTGTTATTTAATGCTAAATTAAAATATTGAAAAATAATTATTTTAAATTATAAAAATAATAAAGGCCCATTAAATAAAATGAATTACAAAATTGACCTTGCTATTTTTAAATTACAAAAATAATTTAAAAAATTATTATTAGTATTTTAATTTAACATTAAATAGTAAGGTCAATTTTATCATTTCATAACTAAGTTATAAGGTCAATCACTAATATGGGGACAACTTGTTAGTTCATGATTTTATTTATTTTTAATTTTACTCGGATTTTTATGCACAATTTTTAAAGTACATGGGAATTTTGTGATTTTAACCCTTACAACAATAAGTCGAGCCGAGCCTGAGCACATCTAAGCTCTGCTTGCCTCAACTCGGCTCATTTGTAGTCCTAGAGATGCGTAAACGATTTGGGTCTTTTGTAAACGGGTCGTGTCTTTATAAACGGGGCAATCCGACTTGATCCTTTACCCTGAAATTTTAAAAAATTGATTTCCAAAAATGTTTGCCAAAAGAATGGATTTTACAATTTTTTATATAAAAAAAAGTTCAATTAGGTCATAATTGGTTGGACCCAACTTGTTCTAGCCCGACCCACAAAATTTTTATGTGACTTGAAGGTTGAAATTTCATAAATATATAAAAGAATTTTTAAAAAACTATAGAAGAATATCAATTAAAATGATGTCTCAGAGCATCTCCAACCCACTTGTCATATGGGCTGCCAATTCAAAATATAGCAGATGGGTTAAAATTGGGACAGCGGCTGAAGCTTACGAACTGCGAACCCGAATTGGAACAACGGGCGATGGAAACTGAAAGATATGGGTTTCGATTTTTTGAACAATCTGAAATGATACGCCGATATGGGTTTTTATATAGGTAATAGGTTTTGAACTTTGGATTCTTGCAGACAGATAGATAAACTGAAATATATAGGTTTTGAACTTCTGATTCTTGTAGATTTTGTAGTTTGCAGTTGCAAAGAGGGAGAGAGAGAGGGCAAGTTCTGAGAGTTGAGAGCGAGATGGAGGCGATTGGGGAGGCTAAAATGATTTGCCCTAAAAATATATAATAATTATATAATCAAATATATATAATATACATATATATATATATATATATATAATATAAATTTCTGAAAAAGAAAAAAAATTATATAAAAAAATTAATTCACAAATAGTGGTAAAAAAATTATAAAAAATTTGTTTTTTTTTTTGGTCCTTTTTTACTAGATATTTTAGATTTTCGCTTCTTTTTAATTAGGTTTAATTTTAGTTTTCTTCTAATATTTTCAACTTAATTTGGAATGTGCCTAATACTACGATGCAAATATGAATGGTGGAAATGATAGTGAAAAAGAATGGTGGTTATTTTTTGCATGAAATGCATTATTAGAATAAAATTATTAAAATGTAATATTTTAACACTGTAACACTTGCCAAAATATAAATTTAACATCCAAATTTAACTCTCAGTATTAGAGACGCTCTCAAGCGGTTTTTGTCAATCTACTTACACTTTCGTCCTACATGAATAACCAATTAAAAAAAATGGTATTAGTATTTCTATTGCCAAGCCATTAAAACTGGTATATAGTTGTTTATAAAAGTGCTCGTTTTGGCAGCACTAACTCCTGCTCTGGCAATAGCTACATTCACCCCCAATTTCCCATAAAACCCTAAAACCACACTACTTCTATACCTTTCTCATTCCCGCTTTTTTCTGTCAGGAGATTCTCAATCCTACTACTCTTAGGGTTTTCTCTCTCCTCTCTGTAACGATGATGTACGGTGATCAACATCATCACCATCTTCAGCAGCAGCAACCACACCCGCAACATCCACCGCCACCGCCACCGCCGCCGCCGCAGCAGCAGCGTCAGCCAATGATGGGCGAGTATCTGAGGGGGCCACAACTGCCACCGCCACCGCCACCGCCACCGCCACCGCCGATGATGCGACAGCCCTCTGCTTCTTCTACCACTCTCAACGCACCAGAGTATCACCACCAGCCGCCTGCTCAACACTCTTACGATGGTAATCTCTCTCCTCCTCCGTATTGTATTAGTCACAATTTCACAATTTTGTTTGCTTTTCCTACATTCTAACGGCATGGTTATTTTTGGGGCAAATTCTAATGGGAATACATTTGTCGTGTTAATTGTGAATGTACATTTACAAATTTATTAAAATTGGTTCTTGGCTTGAACGCATTAACTTATAGAACCTCTATGTGTATGTGATTTGAATACTTTAGAAGACAATGTAAATAGTTTATGTGATAAGCTGGGACTGAACAAACTTTAAACTTCATGCTGAATCTTATTGTTGAAACCAGTTTTCAACAAAATCTGCTCCGTGGATCAAAATTTCCCACAAAACAGGTAGATAGTGAACGAGGGAAACTATAGGAAATTTTTGTTAAAGGAGCATGAAATTATTCATCTTACACATTAGCGGTGATTTTCATGGCATGTTTTTAACACTTGGAAATTTTCCCTTGTTGTGATGATTTCTTGTGCAGAGGTGGTTGTTAGATTCGGTAGATTCTTCCTACTGGGACATTGCCTCATCCGCCATTTTGCAGGTACCCAAAGAGTCAAATGGGGAATTTGGAGTTGTTGAATTGGTTATTTGGAGACAGTCTTGTTACATTAGAAATTCAATTATTGATGGATGTATTTTCAAACTACTAAAATAATATCAAAATCAAGACTATTTTGTATTACAATTTACTATTATTTTATTTATTTATATATTATTTATAAAATTAGAAAAGATGTGGAGACTAAATAGACTAAATTTTTTTTTTTGATAAGTAAAATGTATTAGAAGGTGTTCAAATGGGGAACGCGTCCCAAGCTATACAAAAAAACTGAACCTATGATCTCAAGGAACCCAAAAAGTCCACGATATCCTCAATCGAAGAAAAATCTCTCCCCTAACCCCAACAAAAAAGAGTACAAATAATAGAAAATTTCAACACCCCAATGGAGGACTCCTTCCCATCAAAGGATCTTTTATTCCGCTCTTTTCAAATGCTCCACGGGGTTACCCTCCAGAAGACTCTCGCCTGAGCCCCTACCCATTGGCCCCTCCAAATATCCAACAATTCCCGAGATGTCCGAGGCATGACCCAATGAATACCAAACAAATCAAAAATGAGACTCCAACAATCATGAGCCACAGGACAATGCAGCAGCAGGTGATCCACTGACTCCCCATTCAACTTACAAAGACAAAACCGATTAACAATAATATGTAATCGCTTCCTTAAGTTATCCAAAGTCAAAATCTTACTCCAAGCTGCAGTCCACACAAAAAAGGCCACCCTAAGAGGCGCCTTGGACAACCACACCGTCTTCCATAGGAAGGAGACGCCATGAAAACCAGAGAGGCACACAAAAAGACCGGACCTGGAACATCCCCCGAGAAGAGGGCACCCAAATCAGGGAGTCAACACCAGTGCCCGCCACCTTTTGTCTGTACAGGAGAGCCAACAAGCCAGTGACATCATCCAACTCCCAATCCTAAAAAGATCGCCGGAATCGCACATCCCAAGATAACCTCCCGCTATCAAGGTGATAGCAGTTAGCAACCAAAGCATGTTTGTCAACAGCAATCCTGAACAGCCTTGGAAACAAAAAAGCCAAAGGCCTATCCGCGCACCAGGGATCCTCCCAAAACCGGACAAACCTTCCAGCCCGAACTTTGAATCTAACGTGTTTGGAGAACTCGTCCCATCCTTTTCCAATGGCCCTCCACACCCCTACTCCACTAGCAGACCTGACTGGCCTAGCTGACCACCCCCCTCTCTCCTCCCTAAAGCGACAAGAAATAACCCTTCTCCATAATCTATGCCTTTCACTGCCGAATCTCCAAAGTCACTTACCAAGGAGAGCATTGTTAAAGGGGGGCCAATCTCCTAATCCCAAGCCCGCCCAACTGAAAAGGCCTGCAAACCTGCTCCCATCTGACAAGATAATACTTAAACTCCTCTCCACGACCCCCCCAAAGGAAGTTACGTTGTAACATCTCAAGACGTCCAGCAACCGAGGCTGGAACCTGAAAGAGTGAAAGAAAATACGTTGGGAGGCTTGACAAGATGCTTTTCACTAACGTAACTTTACCACCCTTGGAAAGATATTGCTTTTTCCAACCAGCTAATCTTCTCTCGACCCTCTAAATTATTTATATTTTTTTATATATTTCCTTGTCTAATTAGAAATACTAAATTATTTATTTTCTTTATATATTTCCTTAACTAATTAGATTTAATTTTATTAAAAAAACTCCTAATAAATTAGGTAATTTGAGTTTTATAAATAGACTAAATTATTTATATATTTTTATATATTTCTTTGTCTAATTAGAAAGACTAAATTATTTATTTTCTTTATATATTTCCTTATCTACTTAGATTTCCTTTTATTAAAAAAACTCATAAAAAATAGGTAATATGAGTTTTATTGAAAATCTTCTAAACACCTTATATTAATTTTAAAATAAAAATGGATATTTATTTATTTATATATTTGAAAATTATTTATAAAATTAGAAAAGATTTGGAGACTAAATAGAGTAAATTATTTATATTTTTTAATATATTTCCTTGTCTAATTAGAAAGACTAAATTATTTATTTTCTTTATATATTTCCTTAACTAATTAGATTTACTCTTATTAAAAAAACTCATAATAAATAGATAATTTAAGTTTTATAAATAGACTAAATTATATATATTTATATATATATATCTATATATATATGTATATTTCCTTGTATAATTAGAAAGACTAAATTATTTATTTTTTATATATATTTCCTTATCTAATTAGATTTCCTTTTATTAAAAAAAATTCATAAGAAATTGGTGATTTGAGTTGTATAGAAAACTCATCTTCTAAACACCTTATATTAATTTTAAAATAAAAACGGATACTAGAGAGGTAATTTGTGTTACTCTAGACGGAAACATATATACATGCAGAAGATATAAATTTATTATTAAAAAATAATTGGTGGTTTTTCTGCCAGTATAGTCAGTGTAGTATTAGTGGGAATAGGAAAAACAATAAAATATAACAGTAATGGTCTAGACGTAAAGGACGATGCAGTTATTGCTTTTGCTTTGGCAATCTTTAGTGCAAGATGTAATGATGTATTGAACGATTCCAAATGAAAAACCTTTCGTGGGTCACCCCAATGGCAGACAAAAATAGAAAATTTGAGATTCGGTGCAAGGAGCACAAAGCTGAATTGAAGATCCTCTCGACCCCAGAAGGAGTTCGCACTGACAAGTTTAGAGGTTCTGAAACAACTGTATTTGAGTGCCCATATTGCCCGAGGAAGGGCGTAGAGGAATTGGAGTCGAGGTACCTTCTGATTATTGTTTATACAATCTTATGCACATTACAATTTTGTTGGATCTCTGATTTTATTTTGTTTTCATTTTATATTACCTCAGACCTGTCTTGGATAGTGATTGTAAGATGATTGCTCTAGATGTTGATCTAGAATATCTTTTAATGGAGAAGGTATGTCATTCTCTCAATATAAACTCAAATATTTGCGATTTACTTGATTCAAGGAAAGTACTGCAGTACGTGAAATTTTGTGCATCTTTGGTAATTATTTTCATACCCATTTAAACTAATATATTCATATAATCTGTCAAAAACAATATCTATACTTAATTACCAAAAAACATCATATGCCTCTTGGTGCATCTTTTTTTTTTTTTTTTTTTTTTTTTGATAAGTACCTCTTGGTGGGGCTGAGACCAACCCAGCAGCGGGTCCCACTTTCTATTGGGTTGATCTCAACCCTCTCCCGTGCGCTATGGCACGTCACGGGAGAGGATTTTGACTCTATGTAGACTAGCATACATTGGGTAGATGCACAATACCTACCACAATAATGAAAAAATGTCAATGGATGATCCAATAACAATTTTGATATAAAACCAGCAAAAGTCGAGTACCATTTGCCTCTAGGGATCATTGTGAGCTTATAGGAGCCTTATTGAACAAAAAATGTCTAAAGAATTGAATGTAAGGACGGGCATAACCAAATGGAAATTCAGGAATTCTACAATGTTCTAACTTCACCTAGTAAAGTATTTATTAACTCCATACCACTATGGGGTTTGAACTGATTACTAGAAAAGCTTGACAGCTATTCATATATGTGAAATGTTGGTTTCCACAGTTTAATATCTTAATGTAGCTTTTGGAGACCCTTATTCTTTATGCTATGTTTGGTTGGAGGGAAGGATTGAGGATGGATGGATGACCCTTTTCGTGTTTGGTTGGAGGGAAGGGAAGAGAGTGAGAAAGCAAGGAGAGATGAAGCATCCCTCCTTTCTTTATGTTTTTCTATCCGCCCAATTTTGGGGGAAGAGAGGAGAGAGAAAATGGATACGACCTTTTATAATTTTATATACTGGGGGTATATTGGTAATTTTTTTTTTATAAAAACTCTCTTTCCCATCCTCCAACCAAACAAGAAAAGAGAGTATCACCCCATCCATCCTTTCTACTATCCATTCCATTCAACCAAACAAAAAATGGGGGAGACACCTTCCCTTCCCTAGGGATGCCTCATCCATCCCTCCCCCTCTCTCTTTCATCCATTTTTCCATCCCTCCAACCAAACGAAGCATTATACACCTTGTCTTTTTGGCTAGTCAGTATAGTTTATTGTTTTCTGGTTTATTTTTAACCTGGAATAGTCTTTAATCACGTTCTTTATACTCCCTGCAGGACGCTGTTGGGAAACGAGACCATACATTACATGATTTTGATCCGAACGAATATTTTGCTAATTGTGCTCGGACAAATTTCACGACATGAGGTATGTGTAACTATCACTCTTACTCAGCATCTGCTTCTTTCACTTTGCTTTTTATAATCTTCTCATTTTGGGGACTTGTGTGATTGTTTGAATCGCCATTTTGGGATAGATGGAACAACAAAATTTAAGGGGGCAACATGCATGTAAAAATTACTGGCTTTTACAACATGAGATGATGATGCAGGCAAAATTTCAAATTCCTGCAAGTGGAATATGTGTTTTTCAAAAAGTTTCCATGTTTTGAAAGATTCCTTATTTTGAGTAGTTTTCTGATTTTTAGTAGCTTTCCTTTTTAAGCAGTTTTCTGATTTTCAGCAGTTTCCTATTTTGATTTTATTTTATATTTGGTAATTAGCTAGTCTTAGGTTTATTATATAAAGCCTTGTAATTGCTAGGGTTTACGGATTAGTGAATAGATTATTATTTTTCCAGTACACTGCAATCTGCAATTCCTTAGCACATTGTATCAACAATCAACCAGATCAGAAAACTCTTCCTCATTAAAAAATGGGAAAGAAGTCTTCTAATCTGAGTTTGAGATGTGACAAAACCTCCCATATGATCGACTGAGCAGCCTGAGTAGCTTGGGTTTGAACTCCATTATGCAAAGCCTCATTTCTAATAACCCAAATTTTCCAAATAGCAGTTGAAAAAATTGAGCTCAACACTTTTGATTTGGTAGAAATTTAGAATCAGTAGTGGTCTGCTGTCCAAACCATTCCACCATTTGCATCAGAGAAATGCAATGTGGATTATCAATGTGAAGAAGGGAAAAAATCTCATGCCAAACCTGTTGAGCATAGTTGCAAGTACAGAAAAGATGATCATTGGAGTCCACATTCCTCGTACAGTTGTGACATATAGCAGTAATAGTGATGTCTCGTTTTTGCAAATTAATCAAGGATAAATTCTTGTTGTGTAAAATAATGCCCACCACCACTGCTATTCGAGGCCTACAGTGCTTCCAACAGAGATCACACCAATTCAAAGTTGGGTTTATGAATCTACATGAATTCCAAGCTGCCTTCAGAGAGAAACTACCAGTTTTCCAGCCTATAATATCTGAACCTGCAACAATCTTTAACCTTTGAATAACACTAAACACTGTTTCAGGTATAAACTCAGGTCTATTGCATCTTCCATTGACAATAAGGTCTGCTAAAAAAGTCTTTCTATCCACTTGTCTAAACAATGTAGCCCCAAACCTCTGGATTAATGATTGGTTTTCACACCAAGGATCTGTAAGCTACCTGAACTGTAGCCCATCTCCAATTCTGAACTTAAGTTTTGTAAAATCAATTGTCTAACCCCTAGAATTTGTTTCCAAATAGGGGAATCAGTAAGTTTTGGAACAACATTCCAAAAAGACACTCTTTGAAGATACCTTGCATGCAACCACTGAATCCACGTCTTATTCTTTTTCTGAACAAAATCCCAGCATAAAGTCATTTTGGCAGCCACATCTATGTCTTGAATTTTTCTAAGATCAAAGCCTCCCTCTGAAATTGGCAAGGTCACCTGACTCCATTTCAACTGAGAAATCTTTTTAACATCTGATTTTCCACTCCACAAGAAACATTTGAATCTCCTTTCTAAATCAACTTTGACCTCCCAAGGAATTTTAAATCCAAAAACCCAGTGATACAGATAAGAATAAAGAACTGACCTCAACAATTCAATCCTTCCTGCGATAGATAGATTGATGGTATTCCAATGAGTTAACCTCCCATTAATTTTATCCACAAGCATTCTGAAATCACCAGTTCTTAAATTGTTGTTAGACAAAGGTAAGCCAAGGTATTTGAAAGGAAAGTTTTCAGTTTGAAATCGTAGGATGTTGGAGATCCTTCTTCTACCTCTGACAGATTTAGAGAAAATAACAGAATTTTTCTCTTTATTTACCTGAAGTCCGGTGGCTTCTTTAAACTGTTGGAGAAGCTCATCAATAGCTTTGACAGTAGGAATGTCTGCTTTGACCACCATTAAGTCATCTGCATAAAAAGTATGAGAGATCTTCATATTTTTCTGTGACACAGCCTTTGACACTTTGATCTTACCCTCAACAATAGCAGTCTCCATCAAATTACTGAAGTATTCTGTGACAAATGCAAATAACAAAGGAGAGAGAGGGCAGCCTTGTCTTATACCTCTGGAAGCAGAAAAGGAACCAGCTGGAACACCATTACACAGAACTGAGAATTTTGGAGAATTAATACAAACATTAGTCCATTTGATCCATTTGTCACTAAACCCATGTCCTTGTAACACTTTCTGAATAAAATCCCAATCAACAGAATCATATGCTTTCTTCAAATCAAGCTTCAAAGTAATAGTTGGATCGCCATGTTTTTTTCCCAAATCCATTAATTAGATAAGATACTAACAGAGTATTGTCATGAAGCCTTCTATCTTTAATAAACGCAACTTGCTCAGGACCAATGATGTTGGGAAGAACTTTAATCAGTCTATTTGCCAAAATTTTGGATATAATTTTGTAAGCCAAATTACACAAGGCAATGGGCCTGTAATTAGCAATTTTGTCACCATGATTTGCCTTGGGAATGAGGGTCAAAAATGTGGAATTGATACCTTGTGGAAGGGTACTTTCAGTGAAAAAGTAACTAACAGCATTGATCACATCTTATCCAATACACCTCCAATAATGTTGATAAAATCTGGACCTGGTGCCTTACCAGGATGAAATTGCATAACACCACCTTTAATTTCCTCTGCTGATATACCACAGTCTAAACTCTGAGCATCTTCATCACTTAGAACCTTTCTTGGGGTCTTCAGCGCAGCCACAATGTCTCCTTGTTTCTTGTACAATTCATCATAGAATGTAACCAACCAGTCTTTGATAGTATTAGGATTAGCCGACACCTCACCATTGGAATTTTGCAGTTGAGTAATAGAATTTGAGTATCTTCTTGTCTAACCACATTATGGAAAAAAGCAGTACACTTATCCCCTTCTTGCAGCCATTTAATCCTAGACTTTTGAGCCCAATAAATTTCTTCAAGTTCCAAAGCTTGTTGCAATTTACCTGTCAGATCTCTCTCTCTGTCTGTGCAATCTTGATCAACTTGCTGATGTAACAATTTCATTTGAGCTAGATGTAAATCATCTCTAGCTACTTGGATTTGTTCAGAAACAGAACCCTTAAGACTTGTTCCATTCTTTAACATCTGCCTTCACAGCTCTTAATTTTTTCTGCAGAATATGTAAAGGATTCCCTGTAACATCCTTCTCCCATGCCTTACAAACAACTGATTCAACTTCATCATGTAGACACCAAATTTTGAGGAATTTAAAAGGTTTTGGACCATGAGAGCAATCAAAATACCATTGAACTGCCATACCATAATGATCAGACAAAGAGGCAGGTGTGAGAGAAACCTTTGAATCAGTGAATTGCTGCAGCCATTGAGAATTCACAAGAACTCTATCTAACTGCATTAATCCTTGATTGTAAGTTCTGTTTGTTACTCCAAGACCATTCTCCGTTATTTATGGGAAGGTCTTCCATACTTATGTCCTGAATCAAGCTGTTGAATTCATCCAATCTACATTGAGGAACTCGCAGACCACCTTTCTTCTCATGACTAGATCTAATAATATTCCAATCTCCCACAGCAATCCAAGGGCCTGAAATTTTTTCAGCTTGAGCCCTAAGAGATTTCCACAGATCTCTTCTTTCTTTAACTCTATTTGCAGCATAAACTCCAGTAATAAAAATTATCTACCAGACACAATATGTTTCACTTGAACTAGCATTGCTTGAGCATCTTCTTGTATCAATTCCACATCAAATAAAGCTCTATTCCAACCAATCCAAAATTTTCCCAAATAGCTAGACTTATATTTAGCCAACCAACTCCATTGAGGACAAAGTTTTCTCTGAATTTTGGATGCCTTACCTTCCTTCACTCTAGTTTCCACAAGCACAGCAAAAGCAAATTTGTTTTCTAGAATCCACTGCTTTGCTTCCTTTTGCATGGGAGGTCTATTAAGACCTCTCACATTCCAAGCCCCTAACATTATTGAGACAATGGCAGTGAACCACTGCCTGCTTGCATTCCTCTCGTTATTCTGTCTGAGGGAGGCACATAGGGTTTCTTTCTCTGCCTAGAAGATTTGTGCTACTTGTAAATTACCTTCTTGCTCCACAGCCCCAGATATATTCTTGAATTTCTCAACTGAGTCCACAGTCTTAATACCTTGTGAAACTGGGGTACATAAATCTGTCACAACCTGACAAGCTTCCTTTGAAGTGTTTGCCATTGTCACAGCCAATTCTGCAATATTAACAACCTCATCACCTATATCTTCAATTATAGGAACATTTCTGGTCTCTCCCAAATCTTTTTCAATGTAAACCTCCTGAGATGAGCTTTCTGCCTCAGTAAATTCCAATAAACCTGTAGCCTTTGCAACATTAATTTCTGATGATATGACAATACTATCATTAGTAGTATCTTTCAGAGCAACAACTTCCTCCTCAACTGTGTTCTTCTCATTAGTAGTATCTTGCAAAGCAACAACTTCCTCCTCCACTGTGTTCTCCTCATTTGTACCATCATTAGACCCTAACAACTCAAAGGCATTAGAAGTAGAAACTCCAGAAACAGCTTGTGGATTTCTCTGTGGCATATCAACAAACACCTTCTTAGTGTCAGCAATTTCAACCAATTTTCCTTTCTGTTTGACCACCCATCGATCCATGGTTTTCTTAGGTTTGGTAGAAGTCTGAAGAATTTTTTGTGGACATCTCTTTTCAAGATGGTCAGTTCTTTTGCATAGCTTACACACTGTCGGCTTCCATTCATACTCCAATTCAATGTGACAATCAATACCGTGAATATCAACAATCATAGAGTCTCGTAAAACCTCCTGTACATCTACTTCCACCATAACTCTTACGAAATGTCCCTTATCCCTATGGGTCTTTGGGTCATCCATATAGATTGGCTTTGCAAAAGATGAACAGACTTTGGATATTGATGCCTCATTCCGGCAATGCATCGGCAAGTCATGAATACGCAACCACACAGGAACGGTTTCAAGAATTTCTTTCTGTAAACTAACATTCTTATTCCATTTCTTCAAAATAATTGGTCTTCCCTCAAAAGTGTGGATTCTAGACAATACATTCTGAACATCTTCTTCAATCTTAAACAGCACCATGAATAACCCATCCTTAAGGTAAAACCAATGTAAAGTCTTTAGCCCAATATTTAGCTACAAAGGCTTTGAAGTAAGGGTAGTAGGGCTTCTTGCCCATCACGTAGCCAACAACAGATGACTTCCAATACGCAACTTCCTCAATAACATCCTCATCTAAAATTTAAACTTTCACTCCTCTGCACTCTTGATGATACTGCAGATTTTTGAAAGTTGATTTTGTTTCATCAAAGAAACTATTATACTTGGGGCGAATAGGGGGAGAATTCCGGCATATAGACCTTGCTGGCGATGTGGGGGAGGAGGTCTGGCCCTCCTCCATGGTGGAGCCGAGACCCCTAGTACTGGAAAACCTACCATTGATCACCCGACAAGCGGACTGACTGCCGTTGGCTGGCAAATTTCAAATTCGAAATTTATGAGGAGGACAATCTTAAAGAAGATTTTGTCGATCCTTTTTGCAATAGAGCAACATCCAGACCAACACTTGTTCCACTTGATGAAAGGCGTTGAGTTGGTGGCTTTAGGGTGGAAATTCCATAATTTGAAGGATATCTTAGTGGAGAAGAAGAACAACCACAAGAAGAAGAGGAAGTTACTATAGAATCATTCGTTAACCGGAGTAAGCCTCCAGTTTTTTATGAAGAACCGCACATTGAATCATATGAGTGAAGAATATCTATGGATTGCGATGAATTAGTGTTCTTTGATAAGGAAGTTACAAAAGAAGAATATCAAATTAAAGGATACGTGGTTGATGATGAAGCTTTTGGATCCATGGGGATGAAAAATAATGAATTTCACTTTTATGGCATGATTTGGGATGAATTTTTGGAGCGTACTACAACTGCTAGGCGATTGTTGGAAGAAAGATTAAAGTTGATTACACTTGTACTTCAAGATACATGTTACACCGCAATCCATGTTTACTATGCGAGTGTATTCTTTGCTAGTATAAGAAGATTAATGTTTTTGGTTCGAGTGCGGAGAAGAAGAAAGAAGGGATGGAAAGCCATGCTCGGATTTTTGATTGATTGTGGAAAATTGCTTCAAACTCGAGGGCGAGTTCTTTCAATCCCAAGGAGACTGATGAAGGCAAAATTTCAAATTCCTGCAAATATTTGTTTTTCAAAAAGTTTCCATGTTTTGAAAGATACCTAATTTTTAGTAGCTTTCCTTTTTGAGTAGTTTTCTAATTTTCAACAGTTTTCCTATTTTGATTTTATTTTATATTTGGTAATTAGCTAGTCTTAAGTTTATTATATAAAGCCTTGTAATTGCCAGGGTTTACGGATTAGTGAATAGATTATTATTTTTACAGTTAATTGGTGGGTGATTCAGAGCAACTGGATGAAGACTATTTTCAAATGGTTGAACACCCTAAGAAGACACGACCGAGTTTCCATAAATAGACTGAGTTTCCATAAATAGGCCAACTGATGATGAGTCTGATTATGTGATTGTTTTTAGTCTTGAGTCATTTATGAGTCTTTAATCTGTTTTATTTCATGCTTAGGATATTATAGTCATTTGATTTTATTTTATAAGTCATGTGCCTTTTAAGTGAGTCATGTGACTGTTTAACGTCTGTTTTGTAATTTTTATCTCTTTCTTCTGCTGGAGAGAATACTAGCCTTTAGATTACATTTATTTGAAGGGCTAGGATTATATCTTTGCTAGGGCATCCCTTGTGGCTTATAAAAGGGTTGTTCCAAGTTGTAATGAGCAGTTTTTTTCACGTGTTATCAATAATGCTTCTTTACTTATCAAAAAAATATCAGATTGCTACAGAAGCTTTTTATCTCTCCCTTTCTTTGGGATTGAGTTGTGGGTGTTTAAGCTACTTGTTAGCTTAATCTTGCTCTCTGTTTTCCCTTCTTAATTAGTGATTTATCTCTCTTTCATAAGCTGATTGCATTAGTAGTGGAGAGGTTGCAATTAAACCAAAATCTGTCTGAGTGGAAACCATGTGTCAGTTTCCTAAGCCTCTTAGGATACATGTTTCTTACCTGCACCTTGTATCCTCTGACTCATCCCCAGCTATACACCTGTTGCTGCCTTTTCATCTGCTACATGAACGCTTAAACCAAAAGAAAGGGAAGAAAACACTAGGGAGGGAGCATGAGAGTTCCAGCAGTGAGGTTTTAGTGTGAGATAGAGAGAAGAAGAAGGGAAAGGAAGAAGAGGAAAGGAGTTGGGTTGTAGAATATATCATCACCTCATCCCCCGTCTTCATTTTTGTCATCTTTGGGTAGGGTTCTCTATACCTTGAGTTGCTTGGAGTGGTTTTACTTCCTAAATTCCTTTGATTTGGCCATGAAATTCTCTGTTTTAATTGCTGCATGTGTTTCACTCAAGTTGATACTCAAAGCCTGATGTTGTTCATCTTTTCCCGAGTTCCTTGTTCCATTCTTGCTCAGAAACAACTATGTTCAGTGTGTGTATGTTTTAGTTATACAAATGATTATATATATTCTGTGAAACTTACTTCCATGTGCTTCTAAACCTTTTTGAAGCTCCTATTATGGTTTTTCCAACAGGGCTGTTAACTCACCCTATCATTTTCCAGGTACCCAAAGATCAATTGGAGAATTCGGGAGTTGTTGGTTTGCTCTATATAGAGACAGCTCTATTTTTTTTTTTGTAGTTTAGGTGTTGCTGAAATGCTTGTATAGAGGTGACTTGATGATTTTGATTTACATGAAGCTAGATTATACTATGTATAAGATGGAATGTTTTCTAAGTGATTGAATTATATTTTGCTGCGGGTTGTACGTTGAAAGGATGTGATGGAAAACAGGCTGGTTTGTGTTCAAACCTTAATTTTGGATTGTGACAATATTATATGTGTATATGGTGTAGTATGTACTAGAAATATCCTGTTATTGAAAATAGAAAGTTTTCTCATACAACACTCATGCCTTTTCTTCTCCCCTTTTCCCTATTTATATCTTACCCTAAATTCCTTTTGCTTGGAACACAAGTTGGGATCATTTGGGTTGGGCCTCCTTTTCCTCCTTGTTTTACTTTTGGGCCTCTTCTGCTAAGCGATTGGTCCGTTTGGCTTTCTTTAGACCCACGTGTCCCACCTTTGGTTTTCAGCAATTCTGGCCATGTGTGGTGATGGTTGACATTCCTGACACATGGCGCGTTAAAATAGGTGGCGCCCTTTGCTTGGATGCCGAACTCCTATTGGTGGAGATTTCGACCTGTCACACCTTGCTCCCAATTATTCTTCACATTAATGAAGGGGAAATTAAATTTTCTGAGGATACGGAACGATTTTCCTTCTCCACTTGAGCCTTTCAGAGCATTCTCAGCGCATGGCCTATTTGTATAATATCCGAGTCTGTGGCGAACCAATGCTTCTGTTGTGCGCATTCTACACTTGTGGTCCCCAGCACACATTTTACACTTGTTACTCCAAATGTGTAGAACCGAGTAACGTGTGACAGATGCAAAAAGGTGGGTACACTTGCTACTCCAAATGTGTAGAACCGAGTAGCGTGACAGATGCAAAAAGGTGGGTATTGTGTATGTAAAATGGAAAAGTGATAGTGTGGTAGTGTAATTGTGTATATAAAATAGTAAAAGTGATTGTATTTAATAAAGTGTAGAATGCAAACAATGGTGCATACCAGCTCCTTAAACAAGTGTGACAATATTATGTGTATATGGTGTAGTATGTACTAGAAATATCCTGTTATTGAAAATAGAAAGTTTTCTCATACAACACTAATGCATTTTCTTCTCCCCTTTTCCCTATTTATTTCTTACCCTAAATTCCTTTTGCTTGGAACACAAGCTGGGATCATTTGGGTTGGCCTCCTTTTCCTCCTTGTTTTACTTTTGGGCCTCTTCTACGATGCGATTGGTCCGTTTGGCTTTCTTTAGACCCATGTGTCCCAACTTTGGTTTTCAGCAATTCTGGCCATGTGTGGTGATGGTTGACATTCCTGACACATGGCGCGTTAAAATAGGTGGAGCCCTTTGCTTGGATGCCGAACTCCTATTGGTGGAGATTTCGACCTGTCACACCTTGCTCCCAATTATTCTTCACATTAATGAAGGGGAAATTAAATTTTCTGAGGATACGGAACGATTTTCCTTCTCCACTCGAGCCTTTCAGAGCATTCCCAGCGCATGGCCTATTTGGATAATATCCGAGTCTGTGGCGAACCAATGCTTTTGTTGTGCACATTCTACACTTGTGGTCCCCAGCACACATTCTACACTTGCTACTCCAAATGTGTAGAACCGAGTAGCATGTAACAGATGCAAAAAGGTGGGTATTGTGTATGTAAAATGAAAAAGTGATAATTTGTAAAATGGAAAAGTGATAGTGTGTGGTGGTGTAATTGTGTATATAAAATAGTAAAAGTGATTGTATTTAATAAAGTGTAGAATGCAAACAATGGTGCATAACAGCTCCTTAAACAAGTGTAGAGCCACGTCAGCACAATTGCTGACGTGGCATTACACTTTATGCAAAGTGTAGAATGAAGTGTAACGCTCGCCCTGGGGATGCTCTCATAATCATTACTCTTGGTTGACACATGACCTCGATTGTTACGCTAGTCTTCTCTGTATCTTCTCATTACGTTAGACGTCACTTCTCTAATCTTTCACTTTCACTTGTCTACCACTTGTACTTCAAGCTACTATTTTTCAGATCTGATAAGAACTTTGAGTACGCGGTATCGATGGTGATGCACCAGATATTATTATTCAATTTGTCAGTCTTCCATTGCATTGATGAGGTTATGGAGTTCATATTCATCTAATGGAGGTGAGCTAACTGGACTTTGAGCATAATACTCATGCCAATCAACAAAATGATCCTTGAGGTCAACAAAATGGTGGTTCAGCGCCAGAAGGCTGATTATAAGTGCAGGAGTTGTCTCATGCTTTGGAGGAGGAGAAGGCAGCTGCGGGGAAGAAGGTGGAGGAGTTGTCCAGCTCCCACGCTTACATGTTGGATCTGATTGGCAAGACTAGGAGTGGGATTGATACTCTATACAGTTGCTTTACTCGTTTGGCAGCTCTCAGGTATGCGTATGGCTATCGAGACGGCTATGGTGACTTTTCCCTATCGACAGCTGAATGTTCTTACTCCGATCTAGATGTCTGCGATACTGAACTTCAGATTGATCCTCCTGGCAACTATGAAAATCGTCTAGAAGATCCAATCGAGGAATCTTTTAAGGAATGCAAGGGCGGATTCAGGAATTGTCAATGGGGTGGGCTAATATTTCTTTGGGTGGACTAATCTAGATTTTTTTTTTTTTTTTATATCTAGATTATTTATTTTTTTGGGGTGGGCTCAAGCCCACCAGAGCCCACCCCTAAATCCGCCCTTGAAAGAATGTCTTGATGTGCTTGTATCTGCTGGTGTCATCCCTACTCCTTCTTCTGGGCCACTTATCCAACCATCTAACCCTCCAGCTCTTGCCAACGATCTTCCAGAATCAACCAGTGGACTCGCTATGTCAACCTTTGATCCTACTGCTGAACCAACTATGGAGAACCCTGTGTATGTTGAATCCTCTCCTTCTCAGTAGGATGATGCTTAGTTTTTACTTTTTATTTTGGAAGAATATAACTGTGAATTTTAAGTTTTAATATTAATTTCCCCCAATGAGGGGTAATTTTTGGTTAATGAATTTTTTCTTGAGGTTTCCCTTGCTTATTTTCAACTTATGCATTCTCATTCCTTTTGTTAACTCTCAGGCCATACTCACTAATGTGCATGCATACATCATTTTTGGACTTGGCCTTTAATATGCTTTTGAGCCTTAGTATTTTGATCTCTGTGCGATCGGCTTTCATGTTGTTGGTTTGATCCCTGATCTTTTGGCAATCGGCTTTCATGCTGTTACCACTCGTTCGATATTTTTTTATCTTTTGGCGACCGGCTTTCATGTTGCCACTTGGTTTGATCTTTCTGACTGCCTTTATACCATTGCCACTCGTTTGATATATATATATTTTTTTATCTCTTTGCGATCGGCTTTCATGTCGTTGCCCTTTGTTTGATCACTTGGCGATCGGCTTTTAAACCTTTGCCACTCGTTTGATCTTTTATGATCTCTTGGCGATCGGTTTTCATGCCGTTGCCACTTGTTTGATCTTTTTGATCTTTTGGCAATCAACTTTCATGCCATTATTGCTACTCATTTGATCTTTATCATCTCTTTGCGGTCGGCTTTCATAGTTCATACCATTGCCACTTTTATGTATACAACGTGGTTTGATATCCATCCCTTTTGTTTTATTTTTCCAAAAAGACAGTGGCACTGCCTAGCATGACCCCTTAGGCCATGCAGGCAGTGCCACCATTGTTGGGTGTTTGTCTCTTGGCTATAGATTAAATTTTCATTCTTAGTTTCCTTATGTGGGACAACGGCTTATAATACTTTAGCATTCAAAGAAAATTTCTTTGATACTTGATACCTTACTTGGGTCCTTAGCCCTTTTATCCTTTCACAAATATGTTGGAAGATATATATTTTTCCCCTTTGATTTTCTACAAAAGTAACGTCTATGGAAACAATCATCTTTGCTGAAGGAGGTGATAGTATTTGTATCCCTTTTATGTCGCAGAATACCCCAAGAAAATGCACTTGAGTGCTCTTGGATCCAGCTTACTCCAGTGTTGTTTATGGATATGAGTATAACAAACACAGTCAAACACTTTGGTTGGAATGTGAAAAAGAGTTTGAATAATGTGTGTTTTGGATAATATCTGGAGAGGAGTTTGAAACTGAAGGACTTTTGAAGGCATTCTGTTAATGAGATATGTTGCAACAAGGACAACATCTCCCCATAAAGTTTTAGGAACGTTCATAGCAAAGA